TCCGCTTGAAGTGACATGCGCTGCGTAAACAGATCTGGCAGAGAGCCCTTGGCCATATCACGCTCAAGTTCTCTGGCATTGTTTTACCTGTTAGCTCTCGACTGGATGTCGAAGTTACAGGAGTACTCTGGAACGATTAACCAGGCCGGGTGTGACCTCGGGAAGCTCAGCCCGTCTTAGCCTTGGGTTGTTGTTAACTTCTCTATGGTCATTGGTTGCTTATGGAAGTTTATACTTTTAGTCGTTCCACTACATTAGCATGGCGTGATTGTACTGTGTTCCCATATCCGTCTAGCAAGACGCAGTACGAGTGTACTATCAAAAGGGAACGTACTCGGTTACTAATGTAACCTCGGTTCCCTGAGATAGGGGAACGAGTACTGCGTTGCTAGCCGTGCTATGCAGCTTCAGTCGAAGTAACCTGAGAATCCTGTGGCGAACGCCCGCTTATATAGCCAGATGCCCCGCCCATTCTGGCGGGCTTTGGCTGGCTTTGGTGGGCTTCGTCGCCATAGGCTCGTGCAGCTTCGCTGCCTAGCCATTGGTTCGTTTTTAATACACTGCACGAACCAATGGCCGTGCAGTTTCACTGCGTGAATGAAAAGGCTTCAGTTCAGGAGAAAAAAGGCTTTTTTCCCATATGCGTCTAGCAAGACGCAGTACTCGTTCCCGTATCTCAGGGAACCGAGGTTACGTTAGTAACCGAGTACGTTTCCCTTATGTACAATGTGAAAATGTACAATGAAATGCAATGACTCATACCCTTGTTTGTGTTCTTCAAAGGCTGAACACTGGTCAGGCCATTTGGATAAAGGTTGAATGGTCGACTGGCCATATTTTTAAAAACAATCTGTTAAGATATAAAAAAAATTGTGAATTTCAGAAAATTAAACAAACAAAAAAATAAATATATATATATATATATATATATATATATATAAAACATCAAATTTAATTGTCTCAGTTTAACACTTTAAAGTCTCCATGAAATGAAAAATGCAATCTATTTCCTAAATGTGTCTTATTGGATCTTGACTTACTGATTGATCACTTCATCCATGCAAGTTTCACACTACATTTTTCGTACAAGTCATATGGACTAATTTTATGATACATTTACATCTAAAAGCTTCAGTACCAATTGATTGCAATTGAAAAGATTGACCAGTCTTTCTCTGTTTCATGAAAGAAAGAAATGCCTATCCCTTTAAATCCACATTCCCTACCTGAAATTTGTCTCCCACTTCCCCTCTGAGCTCTGGGCCCATCAGCATTTTGCCAGTGGTTTTCTTCTTAGTGAAGGTCTTGTCTGTGTACTCCACGAAAGCCACTTTCTTATAAACACCACCCAAGCGCTGAGGACCTTTTCTGAACCACTCAGATCCTGCTGCTGATGACGATGAAATCCTGAAGCATGAAAATCAACATTATTTTCAGTCGGTTTGACATCATTCATCTCAGGGCATACTCAAAGTCGTACCGATCGCCGCTTTGAGACGAATAGTCCCAGTCCATCTCCTCTGCAGCGATGTAATGAACCCACACTTTAGGTCTTCCCTTGGCGCTCGATCGAAGCACTGATACAGGGCCTCCTTGCTTGAACACAATGGAGATCATGTTGTCTTCATCCTCCTCCTCCTCATCATCATCACGTATGACGTTTCGTTTGTCTGGGATTGGGGCCACCACAGGTTCAGGACAGTTGTCAACAGTGAAGAACGCATTCATACCAGCTGGAGAAGAGAGTTAAATCGAACATCAGTGATTTACACTCTTATTCAATTGCATTTCTAAACCAAACATAACTTGTTACTTCTTGCAAATTCATTTAGACCATCAAAGTACAAAGCACATATTTCTTAGGTCATCTTGATCTAAATCTTTCCCCTTATTAAACAAACAACAACCTCTTGTCCAACAAATGCCCGTATGATTGCCAATCAAGCTGTGTCATTGCACATTTTGCTTCACTTTTACTTAAAATATCTGATTTAAAAAGATCTAGAACTTAACTAGTCACAAATATGATCACTTATCCAACTGAAAAGACATAATGCAGTTTTTTGTGCATTACCACCCCGATTACTGAACTTTTGAAGCCTCTTCCAGCAGAAAATTTGGTTTAAGAGTTTCATGTTGTACATCCTACACTGCTGATAGGGTCAGTAAGATTTATTAATGCTGTTGAAAGAAGCCACCTATGCTCACCAAGGCTTCAATTATTTGATAAAAAAAAATAAAAATAAAAACTGTAATATTGTGAAATAAATATTACTATTTAAAATAACTGCTTTCTATTTAATATATTTTAAAATTTAATTTATCCTGTGATGCAAATCCTAATTTTCAGCATCATTACTCAACTACAGTCTTCCAGAAATCATTCTAATATGCTGATTTGCTGCTCAAGAAACATTTCTTATTATTATCAATGTTAAAAACAGTTGAGCTGCTTCGTATTTTTGTGAAAACTGTGATATATTGGTTTTCAGGATTCTTTGATGAAAAGAACCATATTTATTTGAAATAGAAAGCTTTTTTAACATTATAAATATCTTATCTGCCACTTCTGATCAATTTGATGCATCCTTACTGATTAAAATAATTAATTTATTTCAGAAAACTTTACCTCAGCTGCAATGCCTTTATTTTATCTTACAAAGTAAGTCCTGATGATACTGTTATTATGACAGTACAAATATGAACATTTTACATTGTACGAGTCTTACCTGTCTGATGAGAGTGGATCTCGCAAGAGATCAGAAACTTTCCGGTAGCAGATGGCTTCATGAGGGCTGTAGTGAAGGTCATGGGCGTCATCTCTACAGTTACCCGCTTATGGTCAAACACCTTTAATGTGTGTCCTTCAAACTGGATGCTGTGGATCTCTGGGGTCGAGCCAAGACCAATAAGATGCCAGGACACTACTGGACTCTTCTGGCACACAGTTAGACCTGATGAAACAGAAATTACAGAATATGTTTGAGAATTACACCTGTAAAGAACATGTCCACCCCAATATCACAAATAAGAAATGAAGGGCCAGGTTTACTATCAGCTTGCACCAGCGCAAACCCTCAATTGGCATTAAAAAACTACTGTCAGGGTTTACTAAAGACACGCAGTGGGAAATTAGCGGTGTAAAGGCATGGACACAGTTATTTTTGTGACTCACCTTACTGAATATGCATTTGTAGGAGTATCCCTTTCGATCTGTAAATTTATGGGAGGAGAGTATTTAAATGAATCACGCAACGTGATTTACTAAGATTTGCGCTCGTCAGTTCACTGGTATTTGTGGCATTATTTAACGCCCCAAAAAAGCATGTCTTAAAGCAGGTGGTAATTTGCGCTGGTCATTATGGAAATTGGATGTTGCGTCTGTGTTCTTTAATGTGCGCATTGTCAGTAAATCACACGCAAAATTTTCCTCTCCAATCGGCGCTTTTATGGAATTGTGCTCTAACGCTAATTGCACTGTTTAGTAAATCTGGCCCTAAGAAATTAGAATGTACCAAAATGAAAAAAGAAGTGTCACTACTGGTCAAAAGTTTGTAATATTTAAGATTTTTTAGATGCTTTTGAAAATAGTCTCTTATACCTTGCTGCATTATATACAGTAAAAAAAAAAAGTAATATTGTGAGGTATTTTTACAATTTAAAAAACCTGTAATGTAAATAATATAATTAATTCCTGTGATGCGAAGCTGAATTTTCAGCATCATTACTCCAGTCTTCAGTGTCACATGATTATTTGCATCAGTACGATTTTTACAAATATTTGTATTCAGCAATGACTCATTAAATAGATAAAAACTGACAGTAAAGACATGTATAATGTTACAAAAGATTTAAATTTCAAATAAATGCTGTCCTCTGTTTATCAAAGAATCCTGAAAAAAATGTATCCCAGTTTCCACAAAAATATTAGGCAGCACAACTGTTTTCAACATTGACAATAATCAGAAATGTTTTTTTGAGCAGCAAATTAGCATATTAGAATGATTTCTGAAGGATCATGTGACACTGAAGCCTGGAGTAATGATGCTGAGAATTCAGCTTTGCATCAAAAGAATAAATTACATTTTAAAATATATTCAAATAAAAAACTGCTATTTTAAATTGGAATAATATTTCAGAATATTACTTTTTTTTTTTTTACTGTATTTTTGATTAAATAAACGGAGCCTTGGTGAGCAAAAGAGACTTCTTTCAAAAACATTAAAACAATCTTATTATAAACATTTGGTTGTGTATATTTATATTTTGCATAAAGAAAATGAAACTTTTTTTAGTACCTTTAATATATTTTTTGCATTAATATATGACATTATTTTCATTCAAATCAAACATAAATTCTACTCTAAAATGTATTATTACTTTAAAGTGAAAAATCTCATTCTTAACACTGTAATGATAACCATTTCTCAACAGCTGCTCAGGTGTGGTGAGGCTGATCGCACCTGGTAATGTTGAGTTGATGTATCCATTGATGGTGTGGTACTGGGTTGGACTTGATGTTTTCTTCAGTTTGTCTGCTCGGCCAACTTCCCGGTACCAACTTTTACTCTCATCGAAGACAGCAAGAAGCAAAATGAACTCCGGAACCTTCTGCTGTCTCTCCTCGGTCAGAGCCTCTGAGAGAGGTCAAATGTTAAAGGACATGTCAAATATACACCAGCATTCCAATTTCAGTACAAAATGTCAGTGAGATTTTACGTGATATATTTGACAAATCCCATCAGAGAAGCAACAGTCACACCTGTTTTACAGATCAGGAGAGTCCCGACGAGTCCGCTGTTCAAGTCTCGGACGATGTCCACCTGTGATGAGTAAATGTAGGTGAGGCAGTCTGGATCTGATGTGGTTGGGCCGGAGTTGGGGGAAATGTCCCACACGTACTTGTAGTAACCACCAGGAGGCACTGCATCATCCTCTCGCTCCTGAACAGAGCTGGAGTCCTCGTACCCCGCGCCTGCCATTGAAAAGCAGAAGGATGTTGAGGTTTATCTTTACACATTATAGGTTTTCAAACCCATCAGGATATTGCAGTATATCTCACAATATTGCTTTCGTTTCGCTGGGTAAGCCCAAACTTACTATATGCTGGTCTATATGGGAAATCACATGTATTTTATGCACTCTGGAATTTATCAGTATCTCCAGTGTTACAAAACACATTACAGTATTCCAAAACAAGTCTATAATGATGTTGTGAGTTCAGTCTAGGAACATTTTGTCTTATGCAGTAAAAGTTGGACGGTTTGGAATGAAATTATTTACATTCCAAAAGGGTTTTTTCCGCAGCAATGTGATAGAAAAACTATTTTTGTTCCCCAAAACGTTTCAATAAGCAATTCTTAAAAGAACCGCTTTTAGAACATTTTAATAATCTAAAGAACCTTGTTACATTATAAAGAACCTTTTGTGCAATGGAAAGATTCCATGGATATTAAATCAATGGCTTTCATCAATTTACCATCAATTTACCTTCTGATTGTTTCCAGTACTGAATGCCGATGGGAGAAATACTGAAAGATTGTGATGCAAAGTTTTTGAAGTGCACCACAACCCTGTCGTTCACCACTGTTCTGATAGTCGGGCCTTGAATACCTGAAACAGATCATTTAATATTCTATTTATTCAATTCTAAACTTCTTAATGTTTTTTTCCTAAGAAGCAGAGATTTCAACGCGTATACTGACCAGCCCAGGGAGGTTTTGACTTTGGTGCTGTAAAAGTGGAATCAGTGTATTCTGTATATACAGCCTTGATGTATTTCTGGACACCAGATGCAAATTTCCTATTAGGAATAATTATGCTGTTACTAGACATATTTGCAATACAGTGCAATGCAACATAATACAACGCAACTTTATTAATCCACTAGAGTTAGCAATTCATTGCTAGATATTGAAAGGAATAGTTCACACAAATATGAAAACAAAATGTATTTATCCTCAGGCCATTCACAATATAGATGAGTTTGTTTCTTCATCAGAACAGATTTGGAGAAATGTAGCATTACATCACTTGCTCAGCAATGGATCCTCTGCAGTGAATGGGTGCCGTCAGAATGACAGTCCAAACAGATGATAAAAACTCTCCAACACTTGTGGATTATTGTGATGTATTTATGGATTATTGTGACACTTTGCATTAATTTATACAATTTTGGAAGTGGTGATTTGAAGTTAAAAACATCTTGATGGATTCTAACAAACAGCTTTTGACTTCACAAGACATTAATTGATGGACTGGAGTGGTGTGGATTATTGTGATGTTTTTATCATCTGTTTGGTGATCTGAAGATCCATTATTGTGGTAATGCAAAATTTCTCCAAATCTGATGAAGAAACAAACTCATCTACATCTTGAATGGCCTGAGGGTGAGTAAATGTTCAGCAAATTTTCCTTTTTTGGGTGAACTATTCCTTTAATAATTATACCAGACAATGTATTTCAAAATTCCAGTACCAACTTATAACAGAACATTTTGTCTTATAAAGGATTAGAATGGTTGCAAGAAATATGCATATTCAGCAAATGATCTGCTGCGGTTTCACACTAATGGGTGTGAGCGGTTATCACGCTCTGTTCTAAAAACACCAAATCAAAGCATGTTTGTTCTGACCACATATTCACTATTCATGGACTGAAAATCACTACAAGAACATATTATATATAAATAACAGGCAGGCTTCTGATCACTAAAAATAACAATCAAACTATGAATGACATTGACCGTATCTAAGTGCAAACTATGCTCACATTTGTTATGCTCTGTTTAACTATACAACTTGGAAGCATAATTGAAATTTGGACAGGCCTTAAAGCTTTTGCCTTTGAGGGTTGCTGGACTGAGTCCGTGCCAACTAATGAAAAGATCAAACACTTTCTCAAAGCTGTTTCCTTTCTATAATTACTAACTGATGACATTCTGCTTGATGGTCAGATTCCAGTTTACTCTGATAAAACACTTACTGTTTGTACACAGTGGTGTTTTGAGAACACTGTAGCAAAATTTGTATAATAAAAGACATAAAAGGTGTATAATGTTTATGGGTAGCAATAATTAAAAAGCATGTTTTTATGTGTGCATAATAATAAATGTGCCCACCTCTGGTTTGCAGTAGGATCTGTTGTGTCTGTAAACACATATTCCCACTTAGTTTCCACTGCTGCGATGAAGAACTCCAAAGCCTTCGCCAGGACACAGGAAGACTTCAGACACACCGTGAGGGAGAGGAGGAACAGAACAACCTTCATCACTGGAGCACAAGTTAAACCCGCTGACTGAATGAGATGCTGAGATGCTGTCAGGACATATTTAACTGCACAGGAAAAGTGTTTAGGGAGGAGCCAGAGAGAGGGCGAGACAGAGAGAGTGTTCATGATAATCATGAGCAATGATGAATGTTTGAGTCATAGAACGAATGAAGTAAGAAAGAATGGATAAAGGTGCACTCTTTTGCAAATTTCTAGTTTTTTTTTTTGGTTCTATTTTCCTGAAAAGCAGATGTTTTGGGCAATAGTAATAGTGATGCTTGTCATAAGCAGTCTTAATCATTTACACGTAACGTTTAATTACATTAGCACTGGAAATAATGTACCATTTAGGTAGGTGAGGTTTAAACTCGCACTTACAAAACGATATGCAGTGTTTTATATCAATGATGTGCTCTTTTTGACCAAAACAACTCAAACAAAGACATACTTTGTTTTTTTTTTTGCTTTTCTGACCAGAAACAAAATAGAATAAATGGCAAAAAAGGAGGTTTACCTGGAACTCACACTTACAAAACGATATGCAATGTTTTTTTTTTTAATTATTATTATTAATGCTGTGTTCTTTTTAACTGAACTCCAAAAAGTGAGGTTTAACTAAAAAACAAAAACAAAAAAACATTTAGGAATGATCACCTATATATATATATATATATGCAAAGTACAAATATAGGCTATATTTTTGTGAATAGTAGTATAAAGTGATCGTTTCGTTTGTAAGCAACTCAGTTAACTTCACGAACTAAGGTTAGGCCTACTGTTAGTCTATTTCTTAAAGAACTCCTGCGGCTTGTTTAGTTAATAAATGATTACTAATTACTTTGCACATATCCAAACAACACATTCTTGTTCATATTTTGTTCCTGTGATATTTGGTTTCAGTCCATTATACGGCGATAAAAAGCATGACAGTATTGCCAGCGCGGAGAGATATTGTTTATTTGCAGGTGAGGAGCGCGTCACTTAGTGATACTGCGGAGTGATATCATAATTAGAAAACAGCAGAAAGACACTAATGTGTGTAGTCCCGGTTAGTTCTAGAAGTCAGTGGACTAAACACCACATTTGCTTTTACCAGTTTAATTTAATCTTTATAAGTCGTTATACATTTTAGGCTATAAAACACGTCGTGAGCCATAAAGAAAGACTGCATTTAAATTAGGGTCTCGTCTAAAGTCAGGCATCCGCTTTCAGTTTTCTCTTGTGTAATTAGGAAACATGCTTTCAGTGTAAAGAACTCGTCCTAGTCTGCCAAAAAAGACTTGGAACATCATACAGCAGGCAGTCTGTAAGGAATCGCCGCCACCTAGTGGAGATTACACGCACGCATGCACACATAAATACTGTTAGTTTACATTATTCAATGCCAATGTATACGTATACAGATATAATTCAGTGCTGTTTTTGTGCTTTTTTAGAATCGCCTTGAAGCCCCACCTGTTCAAGACGATCATATGGTGCCGCGACGAGGTGCGAGTGGTTAGGCGATGGCCTGCTAATCCTGTGCTCTGCACGCTTGGGTTCGAATCCATCCTCGTCGGTTAGTGACTTTTCAGTCTTGAAAAACATTTAAGCCATGACAGTCATTTGGACAAATCTACTTCTGCATATTATGGCAAGACACCACAGGTGTCATTAAAATGTAAATAATATATCCCACCATGTTTACCCCAGTTAATAATCAACAGTACAATAAAACAAATTGTGAATCGTTTTCGAATACATCATTGTTAGATATGAAAAAGATGCATTTCACAATTAAATATGCATTGGTTTGCATACATTTCCAGAACAGATATCTTAATATTAGATAAAGTCGTTTCCTTGACATTTTTAGTTTTAAGGTTTTTTTTGTAGTTTAACATGTTTTTAGAAATAAAATGTTATATAAAGTGACTGATATATGATGTAAACACCTTCAGATTACTACAAAGTTTGGTGTATGTAAATGATGGTGTAGATTTATGATGCAGTAAATGAGAAACAAATACTTAAATAAAAAGGAAATTAAAAATGTTTTGTAACATCTTAAAGATGGAAATAGGTAAAGTGTAATAAAATAAACACTAAAATATGTATTTTGGATATTTTCTTTATATCAATCTAAAATACATTATTAAAGTATTTCAACATTTACAGTATCTCCTGGGAAAATGGAGAAAAAAATGAGTGAATTTAGATTTATGTCTCTGGTTCAGTCTGTTGCAAATCAAGCAAGAATTGTCCCGGTTCACCACGGGGCCCCCTCAAGCGCGGGGCCCGGTGCGACCGCACCAGTTGCATTTTGTTCATATTTTTGAATCAAAAATGACAAATACAATGTGACCACTTTTTTTTTTTCTAAATGGGCATAAATTTGAACACGAAAGGACATTTATAGAATTTAGTGCTTGATCTTAAGCCATTGTACTTTTTTGAATTAAAAAATGAAAGGGATAGTTCACCCAAAAATGAAAATTCTGTCATTAATTACTCACCCTCATGTCGTTTCCCTGATGTCACATGGATTATTTTACAGATCTCCTTGCTACGTTTCTGGACTTGGGAACATTTCAGTTGCGTTGCTGTCTATGCAGGGTCAGACAGCTCTCAGATTCCATCAAAAATATCTTAATTTGTGTTCTGAAGATGAATGAAGGACTTACGGGTTTAGAACGACATGAGGGTGAGTAATTAATGACAGAATTTTCATTTTTGGGTGAACTATCCCTTTAAGAAAACCTATCATATGACCAAAACGAAAATAAAACAATATGATTTTTATTTCTTGGATCTCATGATTTTTGAAAAATTTTTTTTAAAGGTTTTAAAAGAATACAAAAGGCATAAAATTCATCTTAATCACAGGAAATCCAGTTATCAAAAATAGAAAAACAACACAACAACAACAACAAAAACAATACGAAATATTTCTCAAAATGTACCTCCCCAAAAAAATACAAAACATAAAAACACTGACTTACATATGAACAAACATGATCCAAACAATAGGGACGGAGCATGCATTCAGGTTAAATAATTATTTCAGCCGAGATTGAGAGATTGAGAACTGAAGTCTCGAGGGCCGTTACATCCATTATGTGCTGTTGAGTCCATGAGTTTCAACACTACTGAGCTGTTTCTCTTTTGAAGACTTCTTTTTCTGGACAATAAAAGAGCAGTACAAGTAATTTACTTGCAGAACAATTAATCAATCAGTTTTATTATCATAAAGGGTTTCTGCCGGTTTCATAAAGACTTTTTAAGACCAAGCAAAGACCATTTAAGAAACACAATGAGCCATTTTAGCAACACTTCAACGTTTGAAAACGCAATTTTAAACCGATCTCCATTACTTTTTAAAGGAGAAAATTCTGCTTATTTTCTTTTAGAAACTGTGTGCCAGTTCAATCATGCAATTCATTCACCAATTTTACCTTTTTGTGCACTACCACCTCCTCATCTGGAGCAAATACAGGAGGATCATCAGGGATTATCTCCTCTGTTTCTTCATCTCTCTCCTTCTTTTTCTTCTCTGTACATCATTTCAGTGTGAAAGGGAACACAAGCAAACAAAAACTGAATGAAGCAGTAAAATAAAGCCTCAAGCCAGGATATACATGTATTTAATGACTCACTCTTTTTCTTCTGACTTATTTCTACTGGAACGGATGCGTCTTCTTCTTCTTCTGCTGGTGGTTGAAGAGCATCTGCATTTTCACTCTCCTTGCTTTTCTTCTTCTCTTTGTCTTTCTTGGCCTTCTTGGGCTCAGGTGTGGCCTCCTCCGGTGCTGGGACATCACAAGCTTCTTCCCTTTTGTGTTTTCTTTTTTTGGAAGGAGTTTTTAGATCGTGACTACAGGTTTCCTCATTTCCCAAACCATCACCATCTACAGTCTTTGCTTGAGATTTACTACTTTTTAAGGGCGTTTCTGAAGGAACGTCATTCTGGATCTCCACAACATCAGCAGCCTTGCTTTTCCTTTTTGTCGAAAAGCTGTTTGTAGAGTCAGACTGCGGGAGATCAGCATCCGATGCGGCTGTTTTGACCTTCTTACTGGTTGTTTGCTCCCCGCCAGATACTTCAGTGCTTTTAACTTTCTTGGCTTTAGATTTTTTTGATGGTGTTTCAGGCTCAACTGTTTCTAAATATCTTTTACTGGCCTTAAGTTTGCCTTTTTTAGATGAAGAGTCAGGTTTAACGGATTCTAGAGAGACATCAGCTTTCTCAGGTGTCATTTCTTGTCCATTCTCAGAAGGACCTTCTGTTTTCTTAGCTTTAACCTTCTTTGAAGGTGTCTCATCAGGAACAGGCTCTACAACACTTTTAGGCTTCTTGTTTTTCACTTTTTTTGATGGTGTCTCTGATTGGTCAGAGGTAGCGTCCATCCTAGCGTTCTTAACAGCTTTCTTAACCTCTTTAATATTTAAGGGACTATTGTCAGTTTCAACATTACTGGCTTCAGATTGGCTTTTCTTTTTTTTAGTCTTTTTAGATGGAGTTTCAGTGCTGCTGGTTTCTGAGGTACCATTATCTTTCCAAACATTGGTCTCAACTTGCTCTGAAAAACTATTTTCTTTTTTAAAGTGAACTCTATTAGGAGTCCTATTGGGTTCTGAATCTGATACACCAACCTCTTTAGTCCTTGTCAACGGAGTGGCAGTTTTGCCAGTTTCCAAGAGTCCATTCATTTCATGATGTGCTTCTGGATTATCAGATGAGTTAGTAGCTTTAGCTTTTGTTCTTTTAGGGGTCTTAACCACATCAAGACCTGAGATACTACTATTTTTCTTATTCCCAGCCTTTTTGGATGGTGTCTCAACTTCATGATGTTCAGAAATAGCTACAGAATATTTGTCTTTTGACTTTTTTGAAGGAGTCTCAGATGCATCAGTTGTTACAGGAATGTCATCAGGTTTGGCAGTCGACTTTCCCTTCTTGGCTGGGTTTCCCTCTTTTTGAGCTCTTGCCGGCTTCTTTGTCTTCCTTCCCTTTGCTGAAGACTTTGCAGATGAGACAGGAGATTCAT